AAACCAGGTCTAAACTAGATCTAAACCAGGACTAAAACCAGGTCTAAACTGGATCTAAAACAGGACTAAACCAGGATTTAACAGGACTAAACCATGCTGCGCGGACGTGTCTCCATCTCTTCTATCAATAATATTTTTAATACAGTTAAGTACCTTCGTCTTTGCTTCTCTACAGCAAATCAAGTAATCCAAAGTATTCAGATTACATTTCTCACTTTAAGTAATTTAATGGATTCCGTTACAAACTACATTTTGGTTTATGTAATCTGTAATCTAGGGGAATACATTTCAAAAGTCACCCTCCCAACACTGTTTGTATCCAATATTGTTTCTACAGACACAGATTTACTTGGCATGATTCTAAACTCAATGTGGCAGTAGAATCATGGGCACACTCCCTGTCCTCAAAGGCAGGATCCACGTTTATTGTAACATATGTTCAGAAGAGCACATTGTTGATCAGGTCCACGTCAATACGACATACTACATTTCAGCGCGGGCCCATTAACCTTGTGCATGTCCGGGGTCACCAAGTCTCCTCCCCCTCCGCCACCGGCCCCGCCCACTCCCACACATCACCTCCGCTGCAGCGCTCCACACGACACGGGGCCATCGCTCACAGGGAGAGCGAGGCCGAGCGGAGGGCAAGGCGCAATCGAGACCCCGAGAGTGCAAAGACAACACGGGGACCATTCGGAGCGGCCATTTTAGGCTAAAACAATACGTGTGGAGTGGTCCTGGCGGGGCGGGGAGGGGAGAGACAGAGAGAGAGGGAGGGAAGGAGGGAGGGGGGGTTCTCTAATGAAGACATGAGGGACAAGCCCGAACATGTCCACTGCAGCGGGGACAGGGGACGCGTGTCTTGTGTGGAGCTTGGAGACATGTGCTGCGTTGTGTTTATATTCAGAGGCATGTTGTGCACGGATGCTCCACCAACTGTCAGGATGAAGAACACGGAAGAGATGGAGGAGGAGCGGGGTGGGTCTGTTATTTAAAAAGTCAGTGTATGGAATTGTACAGGTCATCATCACACAACAAACTGTACATCACATGGAAAACCCAGACTAATATCCCGCTCTCTTTGTATTTTTTATAGAGTGAAACAAGTCTGGTCCCCACTCCCTCCTCCTCGAGTCAGAACTAAACAACATGAACTTCTACTACTACATACTTCTACTACCACTACCACTACCACTACCACAGACTGCTATTAAAGCCCACTACTACAACCTACTATCACTACAGACCACTACTACTACAGTCCACTACTACTACAGTCCACTACTACTACAGTCCACTACTATTACAGTCCACTACTACTACAGTCCACTACTACTACAGTCCACTACTATTACAGACTACTATTGCAGCCTACTACTACTACTGCTGCTACAGACTAGTACTACTACTACTACAGACTGCTATTGCCTGTTACTACTACAGTCCACTACTACTACTACAGATGACTACTACTACTACTAGCGATGACGACTACTACTACTACTACAGACTACTACAGACTACTATTACAGACTACTACTACTACAGTCCACTACCATTACAGAGTACTTTTGCAGCCTACTACTACTACAGCCTACTACAGACTACTACTACAGACTACTACATATATCTGTATCATCCAGTCAGATTTCAGTTACTGGTCACCATCATTTACACACAAAATTAAACTTCATCTTATTCAGTTCTTTTTTCAGACCAAAAGTTTGTTTTCATCCCTGACAGTTTGGACTGCTCCCTTCCTCAGGACAGTATCCCAGTGTGTGAGAGGAAAAAAGCCCCTCGTCCTGGTTTATAACGCTGTTGGCACGTTTCCGTATTTCGCTTCTTTAATCTAGTGACGATGTTTGTTGTTTGTTGAGAAGCAATCGAAATATGGAAACATGCCCAAGGGACGATAAACCAGGACGAGGGGCTTTTTTACCCTCACACACCTGGGATACTGTCCTGAGGAAGTGGGACTGCAGGTGGTGCTGTCGTCCTACCTCCCTCATAGTTCAACAGCGCCAAAACCTGTTTAAATTATCTGAGTGACAAGACACAGAAACATCACGAGACTCTGAGGAAGAACAGGGAGCAGAACAAACTGTCAGGGATGAAAACAAACTCTTGGTCTGAAAAAAGAACCAAATAAGATAAGTTATGGGAAGAGCAAATGAACCTCACTGGACTAAAATTAAACTTCTCTCACCTCAGATGACACAGTTTAGTGCTTCGCTCAGTGATTCTGCAGAAATTCACCATGTTTTTCAGTAACCTGTGATATACTTTTTACTTCCTCGTAAGCAGCCGCATGTGTTTGATATGTCCCTGATTGGCTAATCCACGTGTCAATCAACGTCTGAACTGACCAGACTCACATCCTGGGGTGTAAGTCTGGATCCCAGACAAGCACATCATAATATTGTCAAATTGGTAAAGTTTTTATTGATAGAGAGCAAATATATTTATACTTTACCTGAGAAGAGAAATACTCAGTTACATTTAGCGGACTATCTACTTTTTTAAATACAAGCATATTTTAAAACGTTGTGCTTCCTCTACCACTATGAGTAAGTCTAAAGTGACAAAGGTTTTAAGTGACAATATGAAATGATTTGAACATGTGTGCTTTTTGCAGTGCCCCACTTGAAAATCCCAGACTTAGTGCAGTATTTAAGGTTTTGTCAGACCAATTACAAGCTGATTATCAGATGATATGACGTCCAGACACTTTGACCGTTACTTTGTACTTCTACTTGAGTAATACTAGTTTGAACTGTACTCTCAGTTGAGTACACTACCAAAATGTTGTGGTAATCAGTTGAGATGACAACACTGCCTGTGATGCTAATAATATAGTCTATGAATTTGTTAATTAGCTGTGGTCAGGCGGTCCTTCAGTCAGCGACAGACTGAACATTTGATTTAAACGCACAGCTGACCACACGTTTAAAAGAGGAAAGGAAATGAAACCATATTGATACGTCACTGCATTGCTTACACATGAACCGTTTGATGACAGTTGTCATGGCGACCTGGGGATTATCTCAACCCTGTTTTTTAGACTTTGAGTGTAAGACAACGATAGGTGAGCGTCTGTGAGTCTGTGTGCTGGTGCCTGCATGATCCTGAACACACACATTTATCTGAACATCCAAAATGACTAACGCTGCCCTAACACAGTCTAGCAGCTAAAAGCTTCTAACTCCAATTCACTGTTAATGATCCTGTTTCCAATAGCGATAAAGCAAACGAGAGCTGTGACCACGCAGGTCGAGCACCAGTGCAAAAGTCTGCAGAGAGTTTATTTACACCACAACAACAGCAGCAGCAGCAGACCACAGGAAACGACCACCACAAACAACACATCCTCTGTTTAACTGTCTGCGAAAGAATACTACTAATACTACTACTACTACTGCTACTGCTACTGCTACTGCTACTGCTACTACTACTACGACTACAGAATACTACTACTAGTGCCTACTACAGACTACTACCACCTACTACTACTACTACTACTACCACTACCGCTATTAAAGCCCAATACTACAACCTACTAGTACTACAGACCACTACAACTACAGCCTACTACTATTACAGACAACTACTGCATCCTACTACTACTACTGCTGCTGCTACAGACTCCTGCTGCTACATACTACTACTACTACTACTACTACTACTACTACTACTACTACTACTACTACTACTACTACTACTACTACTACTACTACTACTACTACTACTACTACTACTACTACTCCTTCTATTACAGACTGCTACTTCTACAGACTACTATTGCAGCCTACTAGGACTACTGCTACAGACTCCTACTGCTACATACTACTACTACAGACTACTACAACAGTCTACTACAAACTACTACAGACTACTACTACAGACTACTGCAATGTGCAGGTGTGTGTATGTGTGCGTGTGCGTGTGAGTGTATGCGTGTGTGTGTGTGTGTGTGTGTGTGTGTATGTATGCGTGTGTGTGCGTGTGAGTGTATGCGTGTGTGTGTGTGTGTGTGTGTGTGTGTATGTATGCGTGTGTGTGATCGGTGCTGAAACACAGGTTTGTTTCCATTCTTCCTCATGCAGATGAAGTGTCTTGACGCCATATGGTCCGAGGGCAGAAAACTTGAGTAAATGTGTTTTTTATTGCACTAAAAACCTTGAAGAACATGCGGCCGTACTGTACGTGAGCACGTCTTTCCACAGACCACACTCCTCATTTGTCCCTTGTCTCCATGGAGATCACAACACTTCAGTGAATGGAGAAGGGTCAAAGTGTGCTTGAACTTTCTGTCTCTGGGTACGTAGCAGGCGTGCCATTGGAAATGTTACACAGTGCAGCTTTAGGTGTTGTGTATTTCAGTCAGGATTATGGATTTATGGGGCTGATGCTGATGTAATGGACATACAAGGTGCAGAAAACTGATATACTGCATTTATATTTAGTGATATAATAATACATTTTAAGAGGAAGCTGGTGGTAAAATGGGTCAGGCTCTTTTCTTTTTTAATTTGGGTTTATTTAAGCTACATTTTCTGTTCTTCTGCCTCTCACTTTGACTGTTAAAAGTAAAGATGACAGGTTAAATGATCTTTTTAACAGACAAGTCCTAGTGTAGTATTGAAGTAACCGGTGTGTTCATGTGTACATGTACGTGCTTTGACAGTACTATGTAGTAACATGTTTACTCAGAGCTCCCTCTCACATCCCACTTCTAACGAGAGTTTAGTGGCTCTGCTCTGAGCTCCTGAGAGCCACAACACATCCTCTGTCTAGTACTGCTACTACTGCAGCCTACTAGTCAGTTTAATGAACTCATGAGCTCTTGTAGTGTCAGAGAATAAGTCCAGCTCAAATGTGAGACACTTACTTCCTACTGTGCCAGTATAAATGTGTGTGTGCGCAAATGTGCGTGTGTGCATGTGTGTGTGTGTGTGTGACGTGTGTGTGCTGTAGAAGTGTGAGTGACAGGGACATACCTGTTTGTGCATCTCGATGTTGAGGCCGTAGGACATCTCGTAGTACTGAAACACAACAACACAACATTAGACACATGTGAGGGCGACACAAACACACACAGCTCGTGTTATTGTTCAGGGTCACGGGAACAGGCTGAATTACACATGATCATATTATTTTGCCTTTTGAATGGCTGCAGTTTGCTATCCCAAAAACTGTCATTAGTTAAGTCATTAATTTTGTCTGCAAACAAAAAAATATCCTCTTTTTATCATGGTTAAAACTAAAGCTGCAAACCCTGTAATTTCTACAAACATCAGAATGAGAAAAGGCTGTAATGTCATCAGCAGTGCACAACATCACACACCACGACTGTGCCTCAGAGATATTAAGTAACATAAAACACTGATCAAATAAAAAGCAGGCATACACCGAGGGGCCGGAGCCTTTTCAAGTTTATTTAAAAGGGCAATACTGTGCTATTTTCAGATCTATATTATAATGTTTCCTCATCACAAACAGACCTGGAATTCTGTTTTGTTTCATACACACATGTTTAACACAAACTCTGCACATTTAGGTTTTTCTTTTCTCAAACTGAAATTTCCAATCTCTACTGAACTAAAAGTAAAAGGAGCTGTCCACTTGTAAACTACCACTACATGACATCACAAGGTGGAGCAGAGCATTTTAAGCTTTGGAGATGTAGACAGACTCATAATAATAAAAAGTTATGAAAGGGTCATTCCACACCATTTAAACAAATGGCCCACGCACTTCCATCTCAAAACATTTTGAAAAAATTACCAAATAGTTTGTTACTATCATGTACCAACCCTGTGAAGTTTTAGTGATTTTCGATCATCAACAAAAAGTACGTCATTTTTTCACTGTTTTCACTGTTTCACTGTTGGTCACTGTATACTTGTCTCATTGTGTCAAATGCAAATGTTCAAGATACAATAAAAAATTGAAGGAGCTTCATAAAATACATATGTTTGGTGCCATATGAAAGGTCTTTTTCTGGTCTTTCAGGAAAAAAATATTTTTTTTTATCACTATCCACATGCCAGAAATTACATGTGAAAATCGGACCATGTTACATTTTATTGTTTTTAACAGGACCCTCACACATAACCTATTTCAAATTTTCAGCATTTAGTGATTTCTTTTAACAGTCCTAGTACATATTTTGATTCTCAAAAAAAATGTAAGGGTCTCCTACATCTACAAGTAGGTTTAAAAAGAGGCAAAAAATGTTAGGCCACAGAAATGAATGAGTTTTTTTTTTTTTTTTTAAAGTTCATATAAAATGACAATGAGTTGAGATACCAAACTTTCGATAAATGTTATTTGAACACAGAGTAGAGAACTACAAGCCTACAAAATGTCAGCCCTCTATGTGTGATACTTACGGAGACATCAACCTGTGAAAATGGCCGAGAAAAAATGACGTGCATTTTGGGAACGAAAATTGACACATACTCTAAAATCACAAAAAATTCACAGGGTTGGTACATGATAGTAAGGGACCAGCTGGTATTTTTTTTTCAAAATTTTTAAAAAGACATGATGCGTGAGTTTTTCTGGAAATTTGATGACATGGCGTGAAATGATGTTACGTATATTTTTTTGAGGAGGCAACAACATAGTAACGTGGCTTAAATTTCACATTAATCCATTTTGCATAATATGACACCTTTAAACTGTCAAAAAACTAAGTCAGAAATAGAAAAATGTGAAAACCTGTCACATGCACTTTAATGAATCAATCAAAAAACAGAACTCGGAGCACACTAATAATGAGACAGAACCATTCCATTCCATAATTTACTTCACAGCGTCGTTCAGGTTCAAGTGCGCTCAAACGCTCGCTAATAAACGGCTCTTTTATGAAAGCGGGTCATTAAAAGAGCTGAAATCTGCACACATGAGATATTTTTGTCTACAGAAATGTCAGATTAACTCAAGTGCTCTTCAGTATACATAAAGGTTAGATGCGGATACCTGCCAGCATAGTCTACGTAGTTTTATTACTGCATTTTCAGAATTCTGCGTGTCATTTAGGCTCGTCAAAAGAATCGAAAATCAGATACTAAAACTAATATCAAAACTAGATCCTCATTTGAGCAGGCATCGACACTAAAAATATAAAACAACATGGGAAAAGAAAAGAAAGTGCTATGATTTAATGCTGAAAATCACATTCTTTTGTCCAAATGTTGTGTTTTTTTACAGTTGAAATTAGGTTTGAAAGTGTAGCACGGTGGCAGCTCTGGTCACGTGAGCAGCCAGCGTCTCTACGGAATGATTTCACATGTTTAGACAATACATTCCAGACTCCATTTCAAAGAAGGGCTCTGCATTTTTTCACTCATAGTCGACATATTACAAGCGTTCATGAGCGTGAACGTTTGAGAGACGACTGAAATCTGAAGTGATAAACGAGTACAAGAATCCCATGCATTTGAGAGCAGGTTTGTGGAGGGCTCAAGAACACGCGAGCACGTTTGACTCTACAAGAACACAGTTACAGGTTGCATCCACCGAATAATCATGGACTAGTAACGTGAGTGGTGGGTGCTAATCTATGCATAGTTAAATCAAGGCCATTTAATTAACTGTTTTTTTTTGTTTGTTTTTGTTTTTTTCTTCTGACTTGAGCGCCTGAGAGAGTGACAGAAGGTCACAGTAGCTCCATACTAGATTCTAGATTTTATTTGTACTTGCCATGGATCTATTAAAATAACTGAAAAGGATATTGTTGCTTATAGCTGCCTCGATTTGATGTAGTGACACTCACTGGAACTACAGCGGAAAAAATCCCATAGGCTGAGACAAGATTTTTCTCAAAGAGCACAATGTAATCACAAACTGCTCATGTTCGGCTCACAGGGCACCAACAACTTTCAAAAATGTCAGATTTTGTGGTGATTTTTACCTATTTTAGATCATAAACGGTTTCTCAGCTCAAAACCCTTCAGTTGTCTTAAAAAAATGCTTTATAATCATTCTCTCCGGCTCCACTCTAGCTCCTCTCGCTCTGATAGGTCAAAGTGATCATGTGATACACGAGCTCAGTGCGTGTCCGTGGGAGAAAAGAGCACTACTGCACATGCTCAGTCGGCCCACAGCCACCGGAAGAACCTCACCGGGCTAAAGGCGAATCAAGAATCATGCGCCATTGAGCTCAACCTATTGACTTAATTGGGTGGCCATTTTGAAACCCCGGGCCTTGGTACTTGCACATATTTATTTGTATATTTATGCCTTATTGACACCAGTCTCTTGGTCTTGTGTTACTTATTTTGAATATTACCCTTTATATATTTTTTCTCTTTGTTATTAGATTATATTGTGATGTGTGACTCCTGTGTCTAAATCATTTCCCTTGTGGGTCAATAAAGTTTGTCTAAGTCTAGTCAAAGTCTAAGATCCTATACGCACTTTCACAGTGTTATCTGCTGCGGCCGATAACCAATATTTGCTGATACAGATAAAGAATTTTTTCAAATCTATAGCATGGCCCTCAAATATTCAGTTGTAAAGTTCACAAAAGTACTTTTCACCTGTGTAATAAATGTAAAATACACAGCCGCCTCTGTAGCTGCAGCTCTCTTCTGTTTACAGTACAAGACACGTCTCAGGAATATCAAACACATTTTTATATTGGACCAATACCGATATGATACGATATCACTTACAGCACTGATATGTTCAGCGTGGTTTATTTATTTATGCAGCCTCCTAGGACCTGGCGTCCACATATGTGCACATACTGTATATGTCCCACACTTTTTGTGATGTGCAGGCACTTCATCGTTTTTCTAAATCTTTATTCAAATTGTGACTTTGAGTTCCATCAAAAGTATTAAAATATAAAATGAATCTCTTAAATTTTTTCTCAAACTACATCATAAAGAAATATAATAGTTTGTTTTTGCACTCATCAGGTCCCAATCAGCCTAAATAGAGAGAAAGAGAAATCAGTAAAACCATGCAAGAGTTCAGGTCCTCGGAGGTTAAAGAGACAGAGGACAGTGTACTGAAATATAATATATACTACATGAAGTATTCTAGGGCTGTGGTCCTTTAGTAGATTTATCAGTCTTAGCTGACTATAATCTGTATTAGTTGACAAATCATTTTATTTCAATGATCAGGATTTGTATGGGACAAAAGCAGAAAGAAGTGAGTGAGCTGAAAATCTGGTATTATATGTTAAAAGGCAAATGATACTACTACTACTACTACTACTACTACTACTACTACTACTACTACTACTACTACTACTACTACTGCTACTACTGCTACTACTGCTACTACTACTACTACTACTACTACTACTACTACTACTACTACTACTACTACTACTACTACTGCTACTACTGCTACTACTACTACTACTACTGCTACTACTACTACTGCTACTACTACTACTACTGCTACTACTACTACTACTACTACTACTACTACTACTACTACTACTACTACTACTACTACTACTACTACTACTACTACTACTACTACTACTACTACTACTACTACTACTACTACTACTACTACTACTACTACTACTACTACTACTACTACTACTACTACTACTACTACTACTACTACTACTACTACTACTACTACTACTACTACTACTACTACTACTACTACTACTACTACTACTACTACTACTACTACTACTACTACTACTACTACTACTACTACTACTACTACTACTACTACTACTACTACTACTACTACTACTACTACTACTACTACTACTACTACTACTACTACTACTACTACTACTACTACTACAACTACTACCACCTACTACTACTACACTACTACTACTACTACTACTACTACCTACTACTACTACTACTTCTTCTACCTACTATTACTTACTACTACTACCTACTACTACTTACTATTACTTACTACTACTACTACCACCTACTACTACTACTACTACCTACCACCACTACTACTACCTACTACTACCACTAGTACTACTACTACTACTACTTCACAGGTGTAGTCGTGAGTGTCTTGTCAGGTTGTTGTGTACAGTTTTGTGTGTTTGTATATTTATGGAGAATAGTCGTGTGGGAGCCTGGGTGATGTCGGCTTATGGGCGGATCTCAGACAGAATCTTGAATAAAGTCTGGGAGAGATCACTTGATGACTCAAACATGCATGCTGACATAAAACCTCTTCAGACATGTTTTGAAGGAATGTTACAATAAAATAGAAAGCTCAACCGATTTTGCATAACACCTCGTCTTTAAAGAATTCTAAAAGCATCTATAAACAGAAGCGGGCAGAACGATGTTACTACACTGGCACTTTGTGGAGTTTCTATTTGAACAAAACAATAAAGAGGAAGTGGCACCGGTCTAAACATGACCCATCACACACCACGGGCGAGATAGGCTTAGTTTGTTTACTAGAAGTTGCCCGGTTACAGAGTTATTGGAAAATGTGTACAGATTGATTGTGATTGGAGAGAGATGTTACATAACGTGATTGTGAAACACGTATGGCACCTTCAGCAGTGTGAAGGGAAGTGGTTTCTGGTCAGAGCACGTCTCACACACATAACCCTGTACTGCACTGTTAGCTCCTGTAATGTCCGTACGACTGGAGGTGGGGGACGCGTTTACTTTTCATACAACTTAACTGACAGCATACTTTTACTCCTACTTAAACACTTGAGTAAAAAGTAAAAGTCTACACGTGACAAAAGCTTTAGGTTTCTTATGTGACAATTTGAAATGATTTGAACATGTGGGTTTCTTGCAGTGGCGATGATGGTTTTGTCAAAAATTGCATTAACTGCAAATTGTAAATCAGATTTTATGTCCAGAAGTTACTCCAACTATTACTTTTTTACTTCAGCGCTACTGTGTACTTCTACTTGTGTAATAATATTTTAAAGTTAAAGTATTACTTTTTTTTCTTTTTGCTATTCCACCCTTCTCCTTCTCTCTTCTTCTTTTGTCATACTATTAAACTTTTCCATTTCACTGATCTTGTGTGTCCTCACAACTTGAAATAAAAATGTGATGCAACTTCAAATATTCAAAAAGTTCTCGATTTAGTGCTCATTAAGTCTGGATTCAGTTTGGATTTTGACTAAATCTGACAAACAATAACTTAAGGTTTCATTTAATTAAAAGAATTAACCAGCAGTTTCACAGTCAACAGTGAGTAAATATTGTGCATTTATAGTTCAGTCCTATATGAGTCTAGAACGAGATTTCTAGACCTGCTCCAAAGTTCTGGTCTAGACTCTACAGTCCCAGTCCAGAGTCCCGAGTACTGGTCTAGAGTCTATAGTCCCGGTCTACAGTCCCAGTTTAGAATCCCAGTCTAGAGTCTACAGTTCCAGTCTACAGTCCTGGTCTACAGTCCCGGTCTAGAGTCCAAGTCAAGAGGCCTGGTCTAGAGTCTAAACTAGACTCTACAGTTCCAATCTACAGTCCCAGTCTACAGTCTCGGTCTAGAATTCTGGTCTAGAGTCCCAGTCTAGAGTCTAGACTGAACTAAACTCTAAACTAGACTCTACAGTCCCAGTTTACAGTACCGTTCTACAGTTCCAGTCTAGATTCTAGAGTCCTGGTCCAGAGTTCTGGTCCACAGTCCAGATCTACAGTCTCAGTCTACAGTCTACAGTTCCAGTCTAGTGGCCCGGTCTAGTGGCCTGGTCTACAGTCCCGGTCTAGACTCTACAGTCCCGGTCTAGACTCTACAGTCCCGGTCTAGACTCTACAGTCCCGGTCTAGACTCTACAGTCCCGGTCTAGACTCTACAGTCCCGGTCTAGACTCTACAGTCCCGGTCTATATCCCGGTCTACAGTCCAGTCTAGCCCAGTCCAGCTCCAGTCCTGGTTTCTCTTGTTAGTACTTGGAAGCTAAACACAGTGAGGTAGTACTTGTGAACAGTTTGAGAAATACTGAGTAACAGGGTTTAGCTGCTGAGTCATAAACAAAACATTTGACATGGACTATTTAAGGCCAAGTACTTTGAAGTCAAATACACACGGCCAGTACAGACAAAACATGAGCAGTGACAGGACGGGAAACCTACAACTCACTGGCTTCTTTGCATTCCTGCTCCATCTGTTAATGCTGAACTACTCACTATCGACATACCTGAGCCCCTCTGACACACCAGGGACACCAGATTAGACTTTTTTAACGGCTCCACATTACGCCATTTTCTGATCTGTGTTATAACACCGTTTCCTCTTCACAAACAGACCTGGAGTTCTGTTTTGTTTCACCACAAACCCTGCAGATTTAGGCTGAATTCTTCTTTCAGTCTGAAAAACACCTTGTGATGTCATGTGGTGATACAGGAAGTGCTCCACTGTGTTCTCCAGACATCGTCACTAGAATCATTTAGATCATTTCACACCTACTGAACTAAAATAAATGAAGCTCTTAATCTGAAAACTACAGCTTCATGACATCACAAGGTGGAACACAGCATTTTGAGATTGGAGATGTAGACAGACTGATAATAAAGTGTTACTCAAACGTGTGAATGAAGCAAAACACCACTCCAGGTCTTGTGTAATTTGAGGAGGGAAGAGCTTCTAAAATGGCTTCAAGAGCACACGAATCCATTTTGCGTTATCAGGGACCTTTAAAATCTGAACTAAACATTTTTGACACATTTTCAAATTTAAGATGCACTTTTCTCAGGTGAGTTGGTATAACATTGCATAGAATGTTCCACGGCATGGCATTAAATACGACATCATTTCGCAGGACAATAATTTAAGCATTTTTTGTTGAAATAAGAGTTCAACACTTAAATGGTTCTGTTTCATTGAGCTTTTAAAATGTTGAATTTTAAATTTTCTTTTAAAATGATGTCAGATGATTTTTTTCTGTATATTTAACTCCGTAAACACATAATGCCAAAAGGCCAAGTTATAGGTTAGATCTGTGGAGAGGTGCTCACAGGAAGAAAGCACAGTGACTGATGGGAACTTTAGGAATTTTAGCAATGGAAATACCTCTATGATAGTTTAAAGCCATACTGTGGAACATTCCAGGCACAGAAATAGCATCTCCATGGAGACAAGCAGACATGAAAAGTTACAATGTGCACCTTTAAATTCACCATTACTCAACTAAACAAAACTACAGCTAAACTAATCTAATCTAAGAACCCCATGCTTTTCCGAACATGTTTGTAGAGTCTGAACTACAGGGTGAGCAGTTTTTACACAGAATAAAGACCCCATGGAGACACAGGGAGGGCATCTGACACACAGGGAGGGCATCTGACACACAGGGATATTTCTGAACATGTTTGTAGAGTGTAAACTACAGGAAGAGCTTTTACACAGAATAAAAGCCTGTGGAAGTTCTGATTCAATCTTCTGACTGAAAAGGCTCCCGTGTGGAGCCTGGGGGGAGGGGGCAGGGCAGTGAGGGACATGCCTGGGGGAGGGTGGGGTTGGTCTTTGGGTGCCGGGGTGGAGGTGGGAGGGGTCAGAGCACAGCCCATAATCAATAGGTGGACGTTTGACCCCTGCTCGGCGCCTGGAGTCAGTAAAAACATGGCCCACACCACCTGCGCGCAGTCTCCTCAGGCTATACAGGGGGCGCTGTCACTAAATCACTCACACTCACCATGACATAGTGACGCTGCATCTCTGTCTTCTCATTGGCCAGTTTGTCGTACTCCACCTTCAGGCTGGGGAGAGGAGAGAGTGTTATTGGAGGCACACTGAGAGCTCATGTGGCACATTTGAGGAGTAATTGTTGTTTTTGGAGCTGCAGTTAGCCACATGCTCGTCGTACGAGGGAGACTTCAGCTTTCACATGTGAAATAGTGTCTTTATCTTCATGTACACACAGTGACGAGGGTCAGCATCAGCCTGTACTCTGCATTCAAATGAGGTGCCACTAGTTTGTGACCATATTCAAATGTATTATGTCAACAACTACTGCATTAAAGTGTGTCGGTAACATTTTTGAGAGGTTTTTTTTAAACACAAAAAGTGTTTGAACCAGTTTGAACCAGTTTTGTACAGAATTTCATCTCTCTTAATTAACTCAAAGTGTAAAAATGAAACACTTCTGTGTGTTGTTTATCTAAATCAGGATAACTCTACAAAGTGTTATCTGTTCACTCTCAAAACGTTAATATAACTCTGGATTTCTGGTTAATCAGGAACTTTGGTCCAGTGTTACACTGAGAAAATGTTCAGATTGATTCTGTGAGAGTCAATTTTTGCTGTGTAGGTGAGTATGGATGGAGCCCGTCTCATGGTGGTACAATTATGATACTACCACAAAGACAAAACAATTTAAAAGATAAAAAGTACAAAAACAAAAACATTGGACGTGAGGGGGTTTTTGTTATAATTTGCTATTTTATCCAATTAGAAAAGAGAATGAGCCTCATGTGAGTCTCATTTGGTTTCAATGCTGAAATCCAGGTGGTTTAAACTTAAAAGGTCCCTCTCTGATCTGAATTCCTGAGGATCTGAGCTTCACGAGGCCTGTCTATATACTGAGAATGAGACACACTTGGACGTGTCCTCTGTCTGCAGGTTCAGGCTCTGGTGACAGGTTCTGTTGTGATTATAGTGCATTTTTCAAGACTAATGGAGCAAAGGCTCCATACGGTTCATTTAAGTATAAAGTTCATATGAGAACTCCTATTGTCAATATTGTTAAAACTACAAGAGTGTGAGATTTTAATGAGGAAGATCACTTTAAAGCTTTCTTAAATCAGAGTGAGACCAAACACTGATTACATGATTCTTTGCTTTTAGACCAGGGGTCTCCAACCTTTTTCCTCCAGTGAGCCTTGACAAAACAAAAATGCTAAAGAGCTGCTCATTTTAAGGGCTGCTAGAAATTGAGACGATAATAAGAAAGAGGGTGAGCCACTGGGTACAGTTAGGTCCCTATAAAAGAGAAACCAGTGTCCATTTATTAGTGCACAAACTTGGGCTTCTAAATGATACATGTACAATAGTAAGAGGCATTTGATTAACCACATTGTTGTTATTCAGCACAATGGGACAATTTCAAAACCCTTTGGTGAGCTACTTGGTGGTGGGTGGAGAGCTACTGGTGGCTCCTGAGTTACAGGTTAGAGACTCCTGGTTTAGACACAGTGACCAAACATTCAAATAGTTCAATAGATCACAATTCATTTCACATGTGACCAGTGTTACATATGATCTCATACAAACACTCTGTTACCCTGACTTCTGTGTGGACATGGTGTCATAACAGCAATGACCCTCTGCACATCAGTTTCCCCCGGTAGCACCCCCATCTCCCTTCACTCTCGTCACATATTTACCTGTGGTACTGGGCCTGGAGGAACTGGAACTCATCCTTAATCCGGTCACACGACTCGGCCACGGTGAACTTAAAGCCAGGCTGCCCCGGCTGGTGAGGGGCCTGCAGAAGAACAGACAGACAGCAAGAGTGAGTAAGAGTGCAAAACAGACAGGAAATATACAGAATGTTCCACATGATTAACAAAATAATAACACTAATCAAAATAAAATAGCACGTGAAAAATGACTTCTACATATAAATTCATATATATAATTGTTTTAATAATAACATTATCAAAGTAGATTTATTTGAGGCATGCACTGATACCAGCGCCTGCTCCGATCCAGGATCTGGAACTAGAGCACATATCAGCTCCTGTATATCTGTTCATGATTAAAATAATCCCATACTGTTATAAGACTATGGCCTGGCTGTTGCTGACTCTGAACAGCTCAATAACTGCTCTTGTATTGATACACTGGAAGTAACCACAAACATGAGTGTAACAGTGGCTGTAGTTACATGCACACTCAAATCTGATTAATACCAGATTTCTGGAGTTCCCGTGACACATAAACAGCAAAATCATTGTATTTCTTCTGATCTCGGTCCCTCTGAACAGTCACAGACTTTAAGGATTGTATAATAATAACATTAAAAGGTCAAAAATCTGATTTTGATGCTCATGTGACCATTGCCATGACATGACATATTCAAACAAGATCTGTGACTGTGAACGATTGGCATTTAAAGTCAATCTGTTTTAAAGGGGGCATCACATGTCAAATCTACTTTATGAGCTTTTAACCTTGTTTTAATAGATCCCATCATAACCAAAGTCCAAAAAACTGAGTTAGACATGTTAGAGTAACCCTATATTTTCCTGCTTTTGAGCCATGAGTCCTCAGAAAACTCCTGTTTCCTCTTATCCCCTATTTCCACCTTATTTTGTACATTTACCATTACTAATGTTGCTCTGATGAAACACCAGTACACGTATCACATCTGCAATTTTGAACAAAAGTCAATTGACCCATTTCTACAAAGATCAATATTGAGAATTCAAATGAGTAAAACAAAGCCATAGTTCTGGTATCAGAAGTGAAAAGGCTGGCTCTGTGCGTGTCTACTTCAAATCAGTGCATCCAAACATGACTGGATTTGGACAAACTGTGACTGGATTTGGACAGTGCCAGGTGTAAGTCTGACTGAGCTCCTCTTAAAGCCGGTGTGCTCGTGGCCTCCTGCAGGCCTGCCGTGTTCTCACAGCGCTTATCAGACACTGGCAATTGGCTTAACTCCACAAACAGGTCCAGTGACATGTCTGTATGATTACAAACACCGAGAGAACAATGACACCTGCTATTACAGATGCACAATACTCCGAGCCCGTGAGACTACGGCACAATGCATGTCACAGGTTTGAATATGGGTCAGAATAACTGCACAGTTTTAACCCACTGTGGATCCTCCTTTATTACACAAAAGTGACTTCAGGCCCTGTTAGAATGTTTTTACCACCTCAAAAATCTGGAGTTGTGTTTTATTTCATTCACACATGTTTAAGAACCACTTTCTTATTAGTCTGTCTACATCTCCTAAGCTGAAAACGCTCAGTTCCACCTTGTGATGTCATGAAGCAGTAGTACAGCTCCTTTTACTAGGGATATCCAAATCTCAAAGTGCGATATTATCACAATATGCCTCTCACGGTACGATAATTATTACAATATTTTGGAGAAGTTAACAGAATTGGACATACGCAGTTTTTCTTCAGTGTAAATCATTACTGCCCTATTCCAATGAAATAAGATTTAAACCTGCTTAATAACAGTAATTTTACTATGTAGTAAAGTAAACAAAGGATCAAGGCCTATGCAGTTCCCTCTTTTTAATACTTTAAAGTGAAAAACATTTCAATTCCATATATTGTAATGGACCACGATATTAGTGAGCGTTCTGACGATGCGATATCGTGATATTTGGGTTGTTGTTACATCCCTGCCTTGTACGTTTAGTATGTAACACATGACATCACAAAGTGGCACACAGTATTTTCTGTTTGAGAGAAGAACTCAGTTTAAATCAGCAGGGTCTGTGAGTTCAATGTGTGTGAATGAAACTAACAAACAAACAAAACTGCAGGTGTGTTTGTGAAGACATTATAACATAGATCAGGGAAAAGCCTCATCTCCACACTTTTGCTCGGTGTTAAACTGCAGAGTGGGCTGGGGTCTTTCAGATGAGGTGAAGATGTGGTATTTTAGTTGGATTATTCTGCTTTATTCATCCAAACCTGCATCACCACATCTCAGTTTAACACTACAAATACTACAACTTGTACTAAAGACACTCATTTCAACAAGTATACATACTGTAGAAAACAATACAGAAACGGGCCTTTCCAGAAGAGTTGTACAATGGTCTCGATCTATGAACTAGTGGAACCAGTTTGAGCTACAACTGATGATTATCTGAATTCTACACATGTTAAAAGAGTAGTATAAACCTAATGTACACTGAGACACTAAATAGAGGCTGAAGTCTTGAGACTGAAGGCGTCTGCACACACAGTGTCTCTGCATAAAGTGTATTATATGATAATCTGAAATGGTTGATTCTCTTTGGACATAGTGTTTTAATAAAGCTGCTGTCTGTGTTAGAACAGCTCTTATCTCGTGTGTGTGTACGGCACAGATAAAGATTATGATTACACTGTTTTATACTCAACCAGTCACGATTAGTCAAGTTAATCATTGCAGCTTTATAACTAGGATATTTTATTTAAAATTACATTCCATCATCTAAAAGTGGTTTTATTATCATAGTGCTATTGAAGTCGATATTAAGAATCAACACTTTTCCTTAATATCATGAAAATAAAAGCAAAATTAAAACAGAGCCTGAACAGATAAAACATTTTATTGGATAAGAACCTAAGACGACTTAAATGTTAAATCTGATGTGAGTTAAAGCTTTAGTAATTAATTAATCAAATTTTGATCACAATTTCGATTTGTGTGTCAAACGATCTCTAAACTTATATAATTGAGTTGAAACGATAAAGCTTAACAAAGTTTATTTATTATTCTTAAGTTTATTTTGGGATTTTTTTTTTTTGTAATATAAAAATGTATATATATATATATATTTTTTTTTTAATATAGAGATTGTAGAACAGCTGGATTTATAGTTTATTTTGGATACATTTTTGTTTGTTTGTTTGCTTTTGCCTTATTTCATGTTCAGAGTATATTTTATTAATTTTATGTTTTATAAATTGCAAAACTGCTCTAAAAGGTACATATTTGTAGCATATATTTATTTTGAATTTGAAAGTTTTGCATAAATTCATCAATAACAAAGAGGTTTTTTTTTTTTTTTTTTTGAGAGAAATGCTGAATAAATGCACCGTGTAACTAAAAAAATATTGTTTGAATAATTGTGATTTCAAGATTGACCAAAATAATTGTGATAATGATGTTTTTTCCATAATCAAGCAGCCCTAATCTGAGTAATCAAAGGGACCACGATCAGAATGAAATCTGACTGTTTACATGTCATTTAGATCATCTTATAACTCCCTAAATTTGTATCTTAATCTTGATTTTGTGTGCACATGTAACAGCACCCACTGACTGTCCCAGGCTGCAGTTTCTCTGTCACGGTTCAACATCCGAGCGCAGTACGGAGCAAGTGGGCGGAGCGTGAAACATGTTCTTCGCTCACGATTCCCGATGTCTAAAGTCTCTCCTGTGGTTTATGCAACAGGCCACATACTTGTGCTGTGTGTGACTGGTATTGTGTGGCCTCTATCAGCCCCTGTGTGGATATGTGCTCTGTTTACACAAGCTGTCCTGCAGCCGGAATACAGCTCATATTTGAGGCGCACAGATAACACACGCACAAAGGCTACGAGGATAAGAAGCTGCTCATGAGGCACAAACACAGAGCAGAGCGGCCATAAATCTGGAAGTGGCCAAGTTACTTTATGGCCAATTATTGATTTCTGTCTCACTAGTCTACACAAACCGCTCCGTCTTTCTGCATCAGTCCGTGTTCTTGGTCCGTGTGACTATGTGATGTTTTGGTTGGGGGCTGGTTTCTGTGGAGATGTCATTTAGGGCTTGGGATCATTGTGAAGTTGCCGATACGATACACAGGCCACAATACGATACATATCAGGATACAGTGAGCTTTTGATTTGATACGACTTATTTCAAATCAATTCAATATGGTTCAATAAAAAAAGTCTAAATAAAGTAAATAATGTCTAAATAAAGTAAACAAAGTCTAAATCATGGCTGTGACACTAAAAGTCTTTGTTAAACCACGTCTTGTGCAAAGTTCATATTAAACACAAACATTTTAATCATCAAATATGTCAAATGTGTCGCTTTAAAGAGTTTCCTTCCTCTGAACAAACAACAAAACTTTAGCTGGAACAACATAATTTAGTCAAAAACACCAAAAATACTATTGGTGATTGATCAATACAGCAGGCCACATTATCAATACTGTATCATCACATTAAACGATATGATATACCGATATTTCAACATTTTTGCACACCCCTAATTCACTGCTCTGTGTGGAATGTCCCACAGTGTGACATTAAACAGCTCTACCTTACATTTATTTATTATTATTATTATTATTATTAACTGCAAGTGGATTTATAGCTCAAAACTACCCAGAAAAGAGGCATTCTAACTGTGAGCGGCGTCGCCTCTCCACAGATCTGACCTGGAACTTGTGGAATAAACTGGTGATTGTGGCAGAACATAAAACACTGGACACGATTTCTCCCACGTATTTGAGCAAGAGCTGCTTATACAATATATCTGCACTAAGGCTGTCCGATAATCAGGAAGAGCTTGTTTGCATGCTAGTTAGCTTTACTGTCTCCGCTAAACTTCACTCTGGTCTGATAGTCGTGAAAAGAGCTTATAAACTCATCACTGTCAATAATTAGGATGTTCTGAATGCGTACGGTAAGTGAAGAAGAACTTAGTATGTCACTTTTCAGATGGAGGGTCTGCTATTGCTTTGCCTGGAATGTTCCACAGTGCAGCATTAGACATATCCATCTCTATAGTGCAGGGGAACCACCGTGCCAAGTTACAAGTCAGCTCTGTGGAGAGGCAACCCGACATCGCTCAGTTTGTTAAATGTTTTTCACGTATTTCAGCTCTAAAATCACCTGCATTTGCATAATTACAGGATAGAAACGTTTCATGTAATACTGTGAAACATCTCAGACATAGCAAGAACATCTCCATGGCAACAGGCAGGTGACAGACCCCCATCTAGAAAAGTTCCAAAGTGCATCTTTAAGAAATGACACTTACAAATAGACTCAATACCAATTCCAATCCACAAGGATAATAAAGCAACACTCAGTACATTCTTTTCAACATTATATCACAGTATTTTCTTTTAAATTCCCACATGCTCTTACATCTGTGTGATCCTCAGTGGTCCATGGGCAGTGTTGGGGAGTAACAGATTACATGTACTGGCGTTATGTAGTCAGAGTACAAATTATGAGTAACTGTATTCAGTTACAGTTACTGTTTCAGTGAGTGTAATTGGATTACAGTTACTTTGTTGAAGTAAATTGATTACATGGCAGTATGTTCCTGTTTTCACATTTTGGGCTAAACCAGGACTAAACCAGGTCTAAACCCAGGTCTAAAACCAGGTCTAAACCAGGATTAAACCAGGACTAAACCAGGACTAAACCAGGTCTAAAACCAGGATTAAACCAGGTTTAAACCAGGTCTAAACCAGGATTAAACCAGGATTAAACCAGGAAACCAGGTCTAAACCAGGTCTAAACCAGGTCTAAACCAGGACTAAACCCAGGACTAAACCCAGGACTAAACCCAGGACTAAACAGTATGACAGTAACGGTAGGTTGGACATAATTTAAGGTGATCTCATATAGAAATAATTTCTCTATCAAAAATATTTTAATCTGGTTAAGGAAAGACTGGACTTTTTATTTTCTTTTAGCAGATAAAACAAAACATCTTATGTTCAGATCTTCGTCTTTGCTTCTCTACAGTAAACAAAAGTCTGTTCATGGAGACTTGGACTCAACAGACAATTTGAAGAGAACCAATAAGAATTTTCAGGATGTGGTTGGTACATTCATGTAGTTTTAAAAAGCATGACAATATCAAGTAATAAGTATTCAGATTACGTTACTCACTTTAATTTAATGGATTACTTTACAAACTACATTTTGAGGTATGTAATCTGTAATCTGTAGGGGAATATATTTTAAAAGTCACCTTCCCAACACTGTCCGTGTGTGTACACTCGTCTATGTGCTCTTCTACTTGTTCTAATGCACATCAACATTATTCTAAAACTATTCCGAAAACTCCATTTCTCATGAGTGAATCCTCTTTGTCTGCTCATTAGTACACGTTGAAGACAGTGCTGTGTATTTCCTCAGAAGCAGCAGCAGTGTCAGGAGCCTGGCTGTACTCACCGGATGGCGGCCTTGTGGATACATGGCGGCCTCTTCACACACTCGGCTTCAGTGTATTCCCCAGGGCTTTAGAATGACTGCCTGGCCTCCCCTTAACGGCAGCACGGAGGACAAAGCACGCTGACCAACACCGGACAGCCCCTGTGCCCAGGACCTACACACACAACACAACTCAGAACACACAGCGTACAAACAGGCGCAGGTGTACAAGTGCACATATGGCATTTTTGCAGATTTTTACACTATTTTCTTTTACATTTTTTGCGATTAAGGCTTAAAGGGCCCATAATTAGACCATTTTCTGATGTTCTAATGTTGTTTCCTCATCACAAACAGACCTGGAGTTGTGTTTTGTTTCATCCACACATGTTTAACACACAAATCCTGCACATTTAGGCTGTTCTTTTCTCAAACCCAAAATGTGGAAATACAGAAAAAGCTCTGCTGTGTTTTTAAACTACGTACACCTTTATTTGAATCTTTTGGCAATTCCAGGGCTGAAATCACCCAATCTCAACTGAACAAAAGGTAAAAAAGGTAGCTGGGAACGTGAACACTACCACTTCATGACATCACAATGTAGAACAGAGCATTTGGAGCTTTGGAGACATACACAGACTCATGATAACATGTGTGAATGAAACAAAAAAAAAACAATTCTAGGCATGTTTTTGATGAGGAACCAGCATTCTAACACGGCTTAACCCTCACAAGAATCCATTTTGTGTAATATATGTGGGACCTTTAAGGACAGTTGGTTTGTGTTGGAGCAGATGAGCTGCACATGACCCACTGGCACGCCAAGAAAGACTAAATAAATAAATCATTAAAGAGTGTAAAACCTGATGCACCATACGCCTGGCTCTAATAATACGGACAGAACCAGCGTTTAAAATCCACACATTAACACCAACTTTAACAAAATAACATTAGCAGAAACCGAGCAAGCCCCTGCAGCCAGGCACAGGATCAAAGCGAGGAAGCGAACTAAATCTTTTATTAGGCTTTGCACATAATTTAGACTGGTGCGCTTTACAGTTTGCGCAGTAAAAAACCACACGCCGCTGGAGGTAGCAAATAAATCCCGGGGTAGAGACTTTTAATCAGGCTGCACTTTGCTTTTGGTCGTCGTAAATCGAGTGGGCTGTCACTGATTAATCGAGAAACGCGCACGTCGGTCGGTTTGTTTGCTGATCCGGAAAGATGATGAGGGAAGGGGAAGCGAAGAGAGAGGGGAAGGCGCAGCGGCGCAGCGGCTCTCCGACTGGGGCTGCCATAAAGCCGCCCTCGCCTCGTTAGCGGATCCTCGTTACCTTTGTCTCCGCTCGGTCCTCTCCCCTCGCGCAGGTAGAAAAAAAATAGTATCCACAAAAAAACAAAACGCGTAATATCCGTGTGGTGCGCAGCGGTCGTCGAGGCGGTGCCAAAATCGCTCCGTGGTGCGTTATGTCGAAGAGTAGTCCGCTTGTCCTCCTCTCCTCTGCCCCCTCCTAGAGTCCTTTGAAAACCCGCTGGCGGAGTGCGTCTCTCCTCGTCAGTGCGTGCGTGCGTGCGGAAAACCCTGAAAATGTGCGGGGTTGTTGACGGCGGACGACTACAAAGAAAGCGTCAATTAGATCCCGTGTTTACGCACAATCCACGCGCGGTCCAAAAGTGAATTCGGAGAGGAAAATGAGAATACGGGGGGCTCTCTCGCTGGGTGTACTCCGCTCTCCGCCGCTCCTCCGCCGCTCCGTGCCACACACAGACTGGAGCGCTGACACGAGGAGCCGTCTGCGGAGACAGGGCCCCGCGTTCGCCAATCAGAGACCTCCAAACCGTTCAGCCACATCGTCCAACCGCTGCGCCCCGTCCCCACGTGGGTCCGGAGCAAAACAAGCCTCCGATTGGTGCGCAATATGTGACCTCACCTGATCGCCATTTTGGATTTGAAGTGACATTTCAGTGGGCTCAACAACTTGTTCAAAACAAAGGCAATAATTTATATGTCCGCGGATTGCAGACTGTGTTGGAGCTTGGGGGGGATTTGGGGGTGGCCATTATGAGATTTGTCGATTAAAAATATATTAATAACGTTGCGCAAGTCCGTAAATATAACACTAGAAATCATACTAGGCGTTCTTTACTGCTAATTTGGTTTTTACGCACGGGTTGGCACTGGTTTGGACATATTGCGCACGGCTGTGAAGCCCACAGGGGTTTGGAGGTTACATTTTCTGCTCTTCAAACGAAAACAAGGCAACAAATAATGCCCGTCTCATCTGCGCTTCACGGAAAACACCGCGGAGATTTCGTACAAATTCATTGGCGGTGCGCGCAAGATGTGAATACCGCTTAATCTGCAGCGGAGTGTCCTTTGAGTGACTGCAATTGATCGACCTATTTCTAACGAGACCTCAAGCATCTCCAAGCTTCCTCTCAGCTCACAGCGGCACTGGGCAGGCTGCAACACGTCTGCGCCGGAGGACACCGGCCAATCACGCGCGAGTCTCCGGTAGTCTCCCCACGTGGGTGCGCTCACGCCCCACTCCGCGCTTCGTCCAATCCCGCGGCCGCTGTCTGTTTTGGCAGCTCCTCATTGGCTCTCTTCGGGCGGAGCTGTCAGTCAGGAGGCCCGGACGTCAATAAAACCCACGTTGGCTTGGCGCTGACAAATGCCTGTGCTACTCTCCCTCCTGCCTGCGAATAGTGCCTGGAATGGCTGCTTAATTAGCTTCGAATGGCTTTTCCTTTCAGCTCAAACAATCTGTCAGTACCATGTGGTAAAAAGAGCCTGCATAAAACAAAAGCAGGAGAAAAAGCCAGTAGGGGCTAAATATCAGTTTGATTCCCCCTCCCCCCTCTCTCTCCCCCCTCTCTCCTCCGTGAAAACATTTGGTGCAAAACAAAGCTTTTACCTCGCTCAAACAGGGCCGGCTCTTCTCCTCCCTGTGCGCGCTCCTTTAATATGCACAGGATTCAGCTATAGGTGCCCGTGCCTCAGCCTAACTCTGCCTGTGATCATTTGGATCACACACAACATGCCAGCCTGTCGAGAGGAAACGCCATTTTACTCACCACGACCAGACACAATGTATAGGCTAAAGAAATGTCTATAATAGGCTATATATATTTGTTGTGAATCTTGGCTACCAGAATATTGGTCCCAAAACTAGGTCACGCACAGCTCAGGTCTGAGGAAGTCTAAAGAAAACAGAAGCATATAGATGATCCGAGTTGTTACAATGTTGTTTCGTCATCACAAACGTATTTGGATTGTGTTTTGTTTCATTCGCACATGTTTAATACACAAATCCCGAGTTTTCCACAACTGCAGCTCTGTTTTTGAGAAGATAACAACAATGTAACATGACTTAAAGCTCACAAGAGGCAACTGTGTGTAATGTAGGATCTTGAATAGAAACAGTCTGGCATAGGCATAATAATAGTCTAATCAAAGCGATGGAGCTGGTACAGGCCGCTCGAAAATGTCTGTGTTATTAGAGGATGCTGTGCTCGTTCATATCCAGTCGTATACACTCTATATGTTTTCATCGTGTGCACCACTAATGGCCCACTGCGCATGTGTCTGCAGAGGTTAAGTAGCCCAGTCTGTATTGACTATAGCCTTTTGTAATGATTTGTGCAGCTAAAAGCCTAAGCTCTTAATGTTGTGTACAATCATGTTCATGTTCAGATCATATTGAACATTACATGGCAGGACTTTCTTTTCTATCCCGTGTGTTCTTATATGTGTGTGATGGTCAGTGGTGCAGTAGGTTCATGTTGGTCCATGTGTGTGTACTAGTCTATGTGTCCTTATGTTCTGATACAACTCAACATCATTCTAAACACGTGTGTCCTGTGAATGTGACTCTTCAGTATTGATATCTGCACACATGAGTACTAGTTTCGATTTTAGCTTTTAGTATTGATTCATATTTGATTGTTGATACTTTGGACAGCCCTATTAGCATGTGAAGTTTCTCAGATAATTGACCTCAGTGGTTAAAATGTGGTTGCAGGTTGATGTTCAGGTGCAGTGTGCGGGTGTGTCCGGAGCACAGAGGTCGTGCGTGTGCAGAGGTGAAGTATTCTACACTGACACTAGTCTGTGTTTCTCATGATGTGTGGAGCTAAAAGCCTGAGCCTGTAATGTGCTGTACATTATATCTTCACATAGAGCGCTGTGCTTTTCACAAGGACATCCAAACCCCGGTCCTGTCTCACAGCGCACACACCAGAGCACAATAACAGCCACACGTAGTCCACATAACTGTAGTTAGCATGCTGAGAGCATTAGCTGTTGCCTAGCAACAAATGTATCCCTCCTGCAGATGCCTCGACATCAGCGCTGTAATATTTCATGTGCCGAGGGCATTCAGAGCCACACAGCCCTGCACAAGAACGAGAGAGGAGACAAGGAGAGGAGGAGAGGAGGAGAGGAGGAGAGGAGGAGAGGGCGGGAGGAGTGTGGCAGAGGGAGAGGGAAGGAGAGAGAGAAGAGAGAGAGAAGAGAGAGAGAGAGAGAGAGAGAGAGAGAGAGAGAGAGAGAGAGAGAGAGAGAGAGAGAGAGAGAGAGAGAGAGAGAGAGAGAGAGAGAGAGAGAGAGAGAGAGAGAGAGAGAGAGAGAGAGAGAGAGAGAGAGAGAGAGAGAGAGAAGAGAGAGAGAGAGAGAGAGAGAGAGAGAGAGAAGAGAGAGAGAGAAGAGAGAGAGAGAGAGAGAGAGAGAGAGAGAGAGAGAGAAGAGAGAGAGAAGAGAGAGAGAGAGAGAGAGAGAGAGAGAGAGGTGTAATGAGTGTAAACCGTCAAACATCTGTAGCACTTTGCATCAGTCACATCTCAGACCTGTAATAATTCATACTCCTTTTGTTTACGCATGTACTTGTACTTGTACTTGTACTTGTAATAATTCATACTCCTTTTGTTTACGTGTGTACTCTTGTACTTGTAATTATTCATACTCTTTTTATTTATGTGTGTATTTGTGTACTTGTAATAATTCATAGTTGCTTTTGTTTACTTGTATACTTATATACTTGTACTTGTACTTGTACTTGTACTTGTACTTGTATTTGTAGCCCAAACCCTGTGTGCGTGTGTGTGTGCGTGTGTGTGTGTGTGTGTGTGCTTCATGTGGAGTTCATGTTTGAAATGCTAAACACTTTGCACTTGGGTGTGTGACGCTAACTGGAGGCACTACTCTGTTTGAGGCTCTGTTTGAATTTAATCTGATTTTTATTTCAACACAATCTGACCACAAACGACTGACTTAGCTGGAAGAGGAGAGCTGATTTGTGCTTTTCAACAAGTCTCTCACATAAAATCAAGTCATGAGCTTTGTGACTTTCAGTTTTTCAGAGTCACTGTCGCCTTTTTGTTGAAAATCAAACTTCTACACAAGACCGAGAACACTCAGACTGACCACAGCCTCCTGAAAACACGCTCTTTAAAGACATTTGGCAGACAATCTTAAAACTTTTTGGCAGTGTTTTAGTTTGTGTATAGTGTCACCACTGTAACTGCTGAACATTCCACCATAGCTGTGCATGTACAACACCCCCAGCATGACAGTATGAGTGGAGCTGCGGGGCTGTTCTTGTTTGCAGCGCTCATGCAGCCCAGCGTCACACACTGGACACCTCCATCATATTTGATACAATTATTCTCATAGTCTCATTTTCTGAGCTGATTTCAACTTTTCTATTAAAACCATGTTGAAAATATCATTTCCGCCCATTTCCAGACGTTGACCTTTAACAGACTCGGCTGTGAAACCATTAAGTCCCATTTCATTATAGAAGCCAGGACAATATGCAGTAAATGAGTTCTACTATTATCTGAACCGGCTCTAATAACCCCGCCGATCCCCGTCCACTCATGAACGACCCACACGACTCCAGTTTCTCATCTGTGTTCTAATGTTTCCTCTTCACACACTCACCTGGAGTTGTGTTTTGTTTCATTCACATGTTTAACACACAAACCTGCACATTTAGACTGAGTTGGGACTAGAGCTGGGCGTTGGGTTAAGACTAGGATTAGGTTTGGGGTGAGAGTTGGGACTAGATTTAGAGTTGGGGCTAGACTTTATTGTGTAAAAAAGTTATTGAGTCAAGTCTAGTGTTGAGGCTAAGGATGACACTTTTATTTATTTATGTATTTATTTTTATTGAGTTGTTTTTAACACCAAAAGTGCTATTTTAACTATTGGAAAGTTAAATGGAGGTTCGAGTCGGGGTTATTTTCCAGAGTTGATATAGTTGAAGTGAATTCAACTTCCCTTAGTGTTCATTCAACTTCCAATAGTGCAGGAGTGTCAAACTGAAATTCACAGATACCAAAATTAAAACCTGGGACTAACTTGTGGGCCAAACTAAATATTTTTTGAAAAATTTCAACATCTGCATATTTTTTCTTCTTTCAAGATATATGTCTATAGTCTGTCTGTGTGCGGCGGGTCAGACCTAATATGGATTTGATATGATCTCATGGGCCAAATATCACAGGCCAAATTTGGCCCCTCGGCCTGAGTTTGACATGTCTGCCCTAGTGTTCATTTGACTTCCCCTAGTGTTAATTCGACTTCCCTTAGTGTTAATTTCAAACTACTTAAAAACTCCTTAAATGAACTCAAATAAAGTGTAAAAATAAAACACCTCTGTGTGTTGTTTAACTAAATCAGGAAAACCCTACAAAATGTTATCTATTTACTCTCAAAACATTAATATAACTCTTGATTTTAAAGGACTCTGGTCCAGTGTTACTTAATTTAACATTTTTGGAAATGTTAAATTAACTCTAGAACAGATTGGAC